GGAAGAACTTTGTGTCCGAATGGACACTCTTCGTAGCGCTGGGATTTTGTCTGGTTCAAACCTGTGCAGTTCCCCTGCCTGCTACACCCACAGAGCAGATCATCATTCAACCCTCATCAGAGACGCTGCTTTTGAGGTAGACGGTAATTAGGGACCCACAACTGGCCAAAGTGCAGTGAGAGCCATTGGACCACTCAGCCCTAAATGGGATGTCTTCACTAAACCCCTTCCCGCCAAGGCTCGGGTCTATGTGGAAGAGGAGGCAGAATGTAAGAGGCAGAGGTGATAGATGACCACAGATTCAGCATCTTCCGGAAACAAGAGGACTGACGTACCTACAACTCACAGAAACTCGCTGAAGCTCTTAACCCAAGCCAGAGAGGCCGCCTCCAAATTCCAGAGGCATGAACCTAATATTGGCCAGGATCCATTATGTGCCTAGTCCAGTGCTGTATGCTTGGTTACTTTGTAGCTGGTATAGTATTTGTACTTTTTAAGAATGGAATATAGTGTTATTTAATTCACGTGTATAGTATAGCGACCAAATCTGGGTAATTAGCATTTCTATCATCTCACACATTATCATTTCTATGTGTCAGGAACTGTCTTATTACTTTGGGAAAATATAATGAGTCTTACAATGATTCCACAAAGAATATTAGAATTACTTCCCACTACTAATTTTAATTTTGGAATCCATTACCAATTCTCTCTCTTCTCTTCCCCTGCCCCTTCCTAGTTTCTACTGACCTCTGTGCTATTCCATACTTTTATGTGGCCAACATAATTTTAGTTTCTGCTAGTGAGATGTGTGTTTGGCTTATTTCACTCAACACAGTAAAGTGGCTGACCTAAACCTCATTACGTAGACCTTGAACTCAAGAGATCCTCCTGCCTCTGCCTCCTAGTGCTGAGATATGCCTCACCCAGCAGATTCCATCCATTTTATGTGCATGCTTTTACAGAATCCTACAAGGAGCAGTCAAATTCTGTTGGTAGGTTTGTTGGAAGCTATCTTCTGTTAACCTGCTCCTCCATCCTCCCTAGCCTGTAAAAATCCACGGCTCATCCACTGCTCATCCCCACTTTTCTAATCTGACAGCAAAGATAGCAATTCCTCAGAGAAATTGTATTTCTCTGGGGCCAAGGCCTCTGCACTGTTCAAGCAGCTGAAGACCTACCCCCTCCTCATCCCTGTACTCCCTCACACAGTGCAGCTCTGCTGATAGGCACCGTGAGGCCATCCTGGCCCAGGACCACACTTTCAGGGAAGTTCTCACATTACTTTCCTCAAAAGCAGCATCAACCAAATTCCTAAAAAGGAGGAAATATTTGCTCTTAAGGTTCCCTTGGGGTCTAATCTACTAATTGGATTTAGTTTTAATTTTTTCTTTAATAATATGGAAGCTGGGGAAATTTTTAGTAGCTATTATAAAATGCCATAGATAGCTATATTTTAATCCTTAATATTAATCTAAATATTGACAATATTAATTTTCTTTGACAGTAGTTTCAGCTGAAAGTCAATATCCCAAGTAGGACTGAGACTTATAGGTCAGCCTGGGGAAGTTGGTGAAACTGTCTCAAAATAAAGACACGAGAGGACAGAGACAGAGAGGTAGAGTTGCCCAGCATGCTCCTAGCCCCAACAACAACACAGAAGTCAATAGCTCAGCGTTTAGATTTCCACAATCAAACCTTCCTTGGATTCCAAGGTCCATGTGTGAAAAGCTTTGTCCCAGCCTGTGCTGTCATTGGAAATTTAGAGGTCCATCCCAGGGGGAAGTTCTTGAAAGGGGCTAACCAAAGCCAGGCCCTTCCCTTATCCCCTTTCACTTTCAAGCCATCATAGGGTGAACAGGCTTCTGTTACATGCTACTTTAGGACTCTTAAAATTCACATTTTCATCGGGCACAGTGGCATACACCTGCAGTCTCCAGCTACTCAGGAGTCTAAGGCATGAGGATTGCTTGAGCCTAGGGTTCAGTAACAGAAAATCCCACTCTTAAATGATTAAACACACACACACACACACACACACACACACACACACACACACACACACACATACACACCCACACCCCTGACATTTCTTTACTCTTAGTTCTACCACAAGAGCCTGTGTTTTCCTTGAGGTATATAAAGCACCAAAGGAAAATTGTGTCCTTCTTTGTTAAATATCTGAAGAATGCCCCAAGTCTTTCCAGATGCCTTTCCTAAATGGCTCCACGAACCCAAAACCTACTCTCAGTGGTGCAGGTTATTTATATTCTAGCTACCCCAAATCCTTCTACAACTGCAAAACACATGCCAGGAAACTCTCAAGTCCCCAGCAAGCTGTTCTCACGGGGATTTAATCTGATGTGTTCAATAATCAACACATTTTAAGTGAGCGCGGCTTCCAAAGTACATGCCACCCATTTTAGCTCAGCTTTTATATACACTTCTTCCAAACTTGAAGTGTTTATTTCCTAAATATATTCTGTTCTCCCTTTGCAATTTACATATGAATACACACAAGGAAATGGTGATAAATCCCTATCATTGTTTCTTGCCTTTCTCCTCTTGTGTATGTTAGAGACAACTCAGTATGCAGCCCAGGCTGGCTTAGAACTTTCAAACCTCCTGCTTAGGGCTCCAGAGGCCTGGGACCTGAGGCATGTGCTCACCACTCCTGGCCCATCTTGTTATTCTCCATCTTGAACTATTCTGCTTCACAATTTACCAAGTATCCCCTCCCACAAATGTTTTTGCTGTTCTCAGGCTCTTTTGTCATTTATAATTCTGCAAGGGTTGTGAGTGAGTTATGAATCCAAACTGAAGTGATTTTTCTCAAGGTCATGTACCTCTAAAGAAGGGACTGGAAATCAGGACTCCTTATGCCTAAATGCTGTATGCTAGCATAATAGACAAGTTGAAATTAATTTTATTCAATTTTCTTTTTTTTTTTTTTTTTTTTTTCTTTTCCCTTAAATTTTTTTTAATTTTTTTATGTTATTCTTTGTCTTTTTTTTTTTTATTTTTTTTTTTTTTTTTTTTTTTTTTTTGCCTTACCCTTAAATTATCTTTAAATTTTTCAGGTTATTCCCTGTCTTATGAAGCATCAACTATGCCTTCCATATTTTAAGTGCATGGGGCGAGTCTGATAATAATTACTGGTTGGGAAACCAAAACCACCTACCACATAGGTTACTCATACTGAAGGAAAAAGTAATTCATGTTAAAAGAAGGGCTTCACTCATTTTTTTTTTTTTTAAAACCAGGGACATATTTACGTATAGCAGTTGTTAAAATGTTTAAATACTGTTAGAAAACGGCTTTTCTTCTTAGCATCTTGAGACACGTCCCTCACGTCAGCTCTCTTTCGTCTACCCATATCTCTCAATGGTGTCAAGGGCTGGCAGGCACAGGACTTTTGGACCGCTACTGTCTAGTTGGCTAGTGCCTTGCTTTACCAGTGCACAGCTATTTCTGGTAACCCTTGTCCTTTCAAAGATCCTGCACGACAGCCCGGTGATTCTTGACTCAAGTTCAATGTCTGTGATACCAAAACTTATCTCTATGTAACAGCGTGGCCTATTGCCTGTTGCTACAATGAGAAACATGGAAAAGCCTTACTTTATGTTAAAATCTTGTTACCTCACTGTGAATACTTGATACATTAGAACCTTTTTAATAAAGTGGTTACCTGGCTCTTCAGGAAGAGGGATCAGGGAAGATACATTCAGATCACAGAGAACCTGGGAAAGTCCATCTGAAGGAGCTAAGAGAAAAAGCAAACTTAGGAAGTTAACTCTTATTCAACATGTAAAGGACAGCATAATAAAAAACCAATTAGGTCATTACCATGTAAAACTGGGCTGGCAAAACTTAAGGGTAAGTTGCATACATTTTATGCAATTTATTTATTCATTCTTTCCCAACTCTGTACAGTATACTAAGTCTTTTATTTTATTACTTATTATTAACTTTGTATCCTGGCTATGGCCCCCTCCCTCATCTCCTCCTAATCCCATCATCCCTTTTTCTTTTCCCCTTATGCCCTTTCCCTAGTCCACTGATAGGGGAGGTCTTCCTTCCCTTCTATCTGACCCTAGCCTATCAGGTCTCATCAGGACTGGCTGCATTGTCTTCCTCTGTGGCCTGGCAAGGCTGCACCCCACAGGGGGAAGTGATTAGAGAGCCAGCCACTGAGTTCATGCTAGAGACAGCCCCTCCTCCCCTTACTAGAGAACCCACAAGGAGACTGAGTCTATGGGCTACATCTGAACAGGGGTTTTAGCTCCTCTCCATGTGTGGTCCTTGGTTGAGGGCCCTGCAGGGACTAAGTCTTTTAAATTTTTTTATTTGAGCCATGTACGGTACCACACACCTGTAATCTCAGCACTCACAGAAGCAGAGGAAAACAGATCCCCATGAGTTCAAGGCCAGCCTGGTCTAGAAATCAAGTACAGGACAGCCAAGGCTAGAGAGAGAAACCCTGTCTAAAAAAACAAAACAAAACAATTTATTTGAATAAACTGTTATAATCATCACTGAAATATTTCAAGAATGATTGTTCTGAAACAAGTGATAGCTTACTATAGTTGTAAGAGGAAGCCTCATAGGTAAGCATTTGAAAATGAAAATAACCTTGTATAAATACCAGAAGTCAAAATGCAGCAATATTGACATGAATATTTTATTTGTAGAATTTCTTCCCTGCTGTACATTTACAAAAACCCTGGAGAATACAAAATGCTGAGTGCTACAATCCCACCTATCACTTCAGGAGGCTGCACTGAAAACGAGTCCTTCCAGAGACCAAATCAGTTCTGCAGCTGACTCATAAACCACAGATACTATAATCCATAACAAACTCAGAAGAAACACCCTGTGAGTGTTTTCGCTTTCAACTGCTGCTATTATGTGCAATACACAGGACTGTGTTTTCACAAACCGACTGTCCTAGTGTCTTGTAACACTTCAGAGGTGGGCACACAGAAAGCAAAAGCCAGCACTTTCTAGTTAAAAACTTTTATTTCTTTGACATACACAGAACCCCTAGAGGCCAAATAAGGAAAACAGACCAAACTCAAACACTATTAAATCATAAAACAAAACTGTATTTAATATAATGTCAAGCAACGCAATTCACACTTGATAGATTTAGCCCCACCAATCATTATACCCCTAGTAAAATCAATTTTTTTCAAGTCTCAAGTCCTAAACAATTAACAACTCATTCTTTAAAATAGAATGAAAAGCTATGACCAAAAGAAGACCAACATTTAGCATGGTGTCAAAATCAATGGTCTTTTGTTAAAAGCTGCCGACATCTGTCAGTAGTAACCATATGGAGGCCGCTGGTTGTGACCGTACTGTCCGCACTGTTGTTGATAGTAAGGCTCTGGTCTCTGCTGTGGGTAGTTGTTACCCCATGATCGTCCATGCCACTGATTCCACCGGTTGTCACCTGGCCATCCTCGTCTGTTATCCCTACCTCTAAACTGTCTGTTGTCTTGCAGCCTACCAAAAGAAAACAAAAACATTAACTTCCTTTAAAAAAGTGAAAAAACACAAGAAATCAATCCCAGTGCATTTGAGTTCTTGATGTAACGTACAGTAATTGAGAGAAACACATCTTTCCCTGTGGCACATCACAGCACTAGTGAGATTTCCCTAAGATATAAGTCATTCTCACAGCATCACACTGGACGCCTACAGGACAGAGGCAGGTAACAAGCCTAGTTGTGATCAAACTGACACCTACTGAAATGCATAAAGTCAGCTGCGTGTAGTGCTGCATACCTTAGTCCCTGGCTCGGGAGGCAGAGGCAGGCAGATTGCTGTCAATCTAGCCTGGTCTACAAAGTGAGTGTGGGACAGCCAAGCCACACAGAGAAACCCTCTCTCAAAAAAACAAAATAAATAAATAGAACAAAATATGCATAAAATCAATGTTACCTATTTATTGTTCTAGATTATTACATTTAATTTTCTACTTTATTTTATAAAATTTCTAAAGTAACCAAAACAATACCTTCTTTATGAAATCAAGTACAAAACTCCAGTTTTATGAAGTATATTTGTAAAATATTTTATTTGTAAAGAAAGTATTAGTTTGACACAGGTGTCTCTGTATAGCTCAGACTGCCTCGGCCCCGCAAGTACTCAAAAGTATGGTTTGCATCAGCATGCCTGGCTGAAATAAGACACACAAAGCCAGTACTTATAGTGCTTATTATGCTCCGGGGCTGTGGCGCACTACGCTGAAAACACCGGCTGCTACTTTCGCTGGCTTTATGGGCAAGCATATTAAAGCTCTCTTCTCCCACATCAGAAATAACACATACCAGTTGCCTCTATTTCTTTGGTGACCACCAGCTCTGCTATTCCATTCCTCAACAATTGGAGGGGATTCAGGAGGACGTTTCAAGTATTCCTGGTACTCTTTGTCATCTTGTGTGAATCTGCTTGCAAACATTTCTTCAAAATTTGGAATCACTTCAGAAGTTTCACTCATGTTGAAATTCTGTACAATTTTTAAGATCTGTAAGAATTTTTTAAATTAACACTAATGTATCAGCTGATGAAAAACCAACTTTGGATAAAGTATTTAAAAAGTCCCTATGTATTTTTAAACAATTGTAGACATTCAGTTGACTACACTGTGCCATTGGAGCCTCAATACTAAGACTATACTAAGATGAATGGCTGTATACCCACAAAGAGACCCCAGTCTAGAAGAGACAGATATGGGGGCTGGGGAGGACAGCTTAACTGGCAACATACTTGTCCTGCAAGAGTGTGGTCCTGAGTTTGCTCTCCAGCGCCTATAATAAAAGCCAGGCCTAGTGGCATAGGCTTACAATCCCCCGCAGCTTGCTGGCCAGCCAACCCAGCTAAATAGCAAGCCCAGGTTTCAGTGAAAGACCCATTTCAAAAATCAAGGCAGACAGCTCCTGAAGAATAACCTGAAAGGGACATCTGGTTCCTCATGAACCCCTCCTCCCCCAGTAAAAAGGATACAGGAGATAGATGTGATGTGAACATAAAGGGAGAAGCAGGAGACCTCAAGAAGTAAACCTAGAGAGGTAATTAAGGGACAAGCTGTGGAAAATGTATCCAGTGCAGATAGTTTAGTATCCTCTTTCTGGCAGGCGACTGGAAGTGCAGGTGACTTAAGAAAGTGAGATCCGGTCTACTGTGTGTGTGGTAATACACACCTGTAAACAGAAAGCAGAGGCAGGAGGACTGCAGGCTGCCCTGGTCTAGAGTTAATTCCAGGGCCCGAAATAAAAGCAAGATACAATTTACTGTTTAGGACTCCTTTTGTAATCGGGGAGACTAGTGAAACTAAGCTACAGGCAGACTGCTATGGTTATATAGATAACGTGCTGAAAGGTTAATGTGAGGTGGGGACTAGGAAAACAATTCCAAGAAGAAATAGTCATCAGCTAAAGATATGGAAGAAGGATAAATAAGGGATAATTTCCGGCTTCCTGAAAATAACATTATAGTGCCACAGGAACTACCAGAAAGGTGAGTATGAGCACACTAAGCTTAAAGTGAGTTATGCCCCACCTCTCCAGGAGTCGATCCCGTTAGCTCAGGGTAAGAGGTGAAGATGAAGAAGGAAGGCATGAGCAGTGTTTGTGATAGTTAATACTGTAAAAGAGGATGAGATTCTCTAGGGAGAATGTGAAAAAACCTGGAGAACATCAATATTCAAAGAGCACTCAAAGACAATGAAAGGATAAGAAAACACACACACACACTGAAGCCAACCACAAAAGATTACCATGCACCGTAAGAGAATAAAGTGCTTGATACTGGCCAATCAGGCAGTGGCATAAAGAAGCAAAAATAGAAAAGGCTATTGCTTTACTGTAGTAGGAAATGAAGCAAAACTGCAAGTGACTGAGAATTAACTGTAAGATGAGAAATTAGACATTTTTTAAATAATTTATTTAATTTTATTTTATGTGTGTTAGTGTGAGGTGTGAGGGTGTCAGATCCCTTGAATTGGAGTTACAGACAGTTGTGAGCTGCCATGCAGGTGCTGGGAACTGAACCCAGGTCCTTTGGAAGAGCAAACAGTGCTCTTAACCACTGAGCCACCTCTCCAGCCCCAAGAAATTAGAATTTTTAAGAAGCTTGAATAATTTAGTCAGTAGCAATAATCTCAGTTTAGGAGGCTGAAACAGAAGGATTTTGAGTTTGAGACCAACTTGGGTTACAAAGTAAGATCTTGTCTTCTGCTAGGCAGCGGTGGCTCATGCCTTTAATCCCAGCATTCAGAAGGCGGAAGAAGACATGAATCTCTCAGCAGCTGAGTTTTCCATACAATACATGAGCACAGTAAAAAATAGTCCTTCAGCCCTCTAAGTAAAGGAAAAGATTTGGCTTCACCTGCAGGTCTATAATCCTCAAGAAGCCAGAGTACAGAGGTCACTTTTAATCATCTAAGACCTTGAAACCACAGAATTATGTAAATAGTTCCCACTTCTGCAGCTTCCTTGCCCACGCACTCTGGAGGTTCTCCATCCCCTAGCTCTCCCAGTACAAACTTCTAAACCTGGTAGGGGAAATGACCCATGCTGTAGACCCAGCATTCCTGAGGCTGAGGCAGGGGGATCAACTGAGCCTAGAAGTATAAGCCAATCTTGGCAAAGAGAGAGAGACCAAAACCTATTTTATGACTTGAGGCCAATAGCTTAAACCCAAATCTTTCCCGATATCCTCAAACGAGTTTTCCCTGCACTCATTAAATCTTTTCTAATAAACCTTTTGATAAGTTGGTTAGGTGGAACACAGCTTCTTCACTGACTTGTGTTTCCTCAAAATAGGTAAGCTTTTATAGCAATACTACCCTTATTCCAACAAAATTAAACCAGAATTGTTCATTAAATACAAGAAACAATATCTGGACATTCTATCTTTCAGGCTACTACTTAGACTATGCCTTATTAATTATTACCTCCCTGTACCTGGTATTGGCAAACTAATGTCAAATACCAAACAAACAAACAAACAAACAAAAAACAAATGAGTTTAAAGTTAATCCAACTAGGCAGGGTCTAGTGACACACATCTTTGACCCTAGCACTTGGGAGTCAGAGATCAGGTGGATCTCCATGAGTTTGAGGCTAGGCTGGAGTGAGTTCCAGGACAGCCAGAGCTATTAAGAGAAACACTGTCTCAAAACAAAACAACAGAACCTCCCAACTAACTAAAAGTGTCAGTGTTTCCATATTAATCACAGAAGCCACTAAAAGGATGCCCCATTCCTAATTACGACAGGCAGTAAATTCCTAAGGCAAGGAAAACGCACTACTCTGTTTCCCCAGACCCCTACCACACGAAAAGAGTATGGCATACTTCTCACAACAATGGAATGTAAACAAAATATTAATGCAAGTTTTACTTAATCCAAGGATTTGAGACAACTATACTGTTTAATGTTTAGGTTAATTAAGTAAGGGCTTAATTAACACACAAGCTAACACAGAAGGGGAAAGACACAGGAGGCCTCAACAAATAACTGTAGGCAACTTAGGAAGGCCAAGAGCAAGAGAACAGTCTTCCCAAGAGAAGAGCACACAAACCGGTTATCCAATACCATATATGATTAGCCCTGAAAACATACACATGAACTGAGTAGGGTGTGTGTCAACTAAACAGGCCGTGAATTTGAAGGAGGGCAAGTACCTCTCTGGGAAGGGCTGGAGGAAGGAAAGAGGAAAATTAGGATTTCAGAAAAATATAAATGAAAGAATAAATAATATTAAGAAAATACAGCTGGGGGGTGTGTCTTGAAGGAAACACCTAAGAAGAGGGACGGGCTGGAGAGACGGCTCAGTAGTCAAGAGCACTCGGTATTCTTCCAAAGGACCACAGATCAGATCCCAGCATCCACGCCGTGCAGCTCACAAGTGCTGGTCATTCTAGCTCCTGGGGATCCGACGCCCTCTTCAGGCACCAGTACACACAAACTGCGCACACAGACAATTCTTTAAAAAAAAAAAAAAAAAGATGTGGGCCAGAGGGAGCGAGTACACACATGCCTCTGTTTGAGAGGGGCTGGATTAAACAGACTCCTATGAATCTCGGCCCCAACAGAAACCCGCTCTTCCGCTGAAGAACTACAAGAGACGCCGAGACTCATCCTCTGGGTCTTCAAGACCAATGCGATAGTTTAAGCACCAGTGACTACAGGACGCGAGTTCTTGGTTGTTGTGTCTGCTGTTGAACGAAGCGCTACGCTTTTCACTCAACTTGAACCCCACTAATTTCTTCTCACCACAAAAACCACAGAGAAATCTGGTCGGGGTCCTCCAACGCTGGCTAAGACAAAGGGCTTCGGCTCCTCTCCAGAGTTGAGCCCAGACAACAGACGAGGAAAACAGAGTGAAGAGCGCGTTTCCCAGCCCGACCTCAGCACCTACGACGGCTCTGACAAAGCGGCTCCCAGGAGCAGCGACTTCGGGGCGCCCCAGCATCCAGACCGCGGGGACCCCACCGCCTCCCGGCTTCGGCCTCCCCTTCCCCTCCGCCGCCCCGGAGGAAGATCCATCCGCCAAGGGCCGTGCTCACCCTTCGGCGGGACGTACAGGAGGGACCTCGGGCGTCCACACGGCAGCACCCCACACAGCTCTCCTAGGTAACCGAACGCTCCGCAATCCTCCAACTGCCCGACTTCCGCTTCCGGAGTGCAAAAGCGGAAGTGGCCCGTCAAGTCTCGCGGTATCCAGAATCTGCCGGTCGGTGGTTCTCCCTTTCCTCCGGCCACGCCCCTCGTATTCGAACTTTGGCGCGGCCCCAGGGAAGCTCCGCCGGGTGGGGCGGACGGGCGGAAGGTGGGCGGGTCTGTGTTTGCGCTGCCGAGCGCAGGGGAGAAGACGTCGCTGTCTGTGAACATCCCTCGTCGCCCTCTATTAGCAGCCCTCCAACCGGCAGCCCCTGACGCACTGCTACGGAAAGGGAGGGATGCTCGCGACCCCGGCGTCCGCGGAGACCCTGAAGCGGGAGCCCGGGCGGCGGGGTGAGGAGCCGATGCCACTGCACCGCTTGAGCGATGCCAAGCAGGCATCAACCGCTTGCTCAACCGCTTGAGTTGTCGGCAGTAAGGTTCCTCGGGCCGTTTTCTGTTTGTGCAAAAATGCATCCACTTCACTGTCCGTATCCCGCTCCCTCTCAAAGCCCTGGCGGTTTCTTCTCGGGTGTTTTCAAGTGTGGAAACGCTGACCACCGCAGGTGTGACTCGACCCTTTTCTCAAATGGCTTCCCAGACAGTGCAGTCTTCTTGGGAATACAATCAACTTGGAAAGTTAAGTGCCCAGATTGGAAACCTATTCTTTGCACGCCTCAGTCAGATGTCACCTGTTAAGTTTGTTGTTTGGCGGTGCCGTCACTCAGGCATCCATCCACATCCACACCCATTGCCTCCACCTCATCGACATTCTCGTCACTCCCTGAACAGCGTAAACGCAGCGTTTTTCTGGTTGATGCCCTTCTTCCTAAGTCACTCCCCCACCAGCTATATCTTCACGTAGATACAGTATCTTCATGTAGATACAGTCATATTTCAGGCACAGCTGGGATGCAAGATATTCAGTAACTCCTTGCCGCCCGAGGCCAAAAATCTTAATTTGGATTCAAAATTCTTTTTTCTGATGTTTCTCTTTCACTCTCGCATGGTAAACCAGACCAGATGCAGTACTTCTTGAATTACTCATTACATTTTTATAGCTTGCCAGTGTCTCCTTATGTTTGCAACACTTAACACTACCCTACACATATAATACACACACACACACACACACACACACACACACACACACACACACACCACCTCCAGATGTTGACACTGAAGTTATATTCTCTAAGACGTTACAGAGTGGCCCCACCATCTGGAAATAAGTTTTACTTCCGCTGCGTTCCATAATGTCTTCTGAACTTCATGTGTTAGTGTTACTTTCTGGCTTTGGGCTGCAGTTATTTATACGCACCTTTAATTTGTACATCTCAGGTACATGAGACCCTACCTTTAAAAAAAAACCTCGTAGTTTAATAGTTCATAATAAAAGTAATAATGATGTATGATAATCACTACATTAGAATTACGTGTTTATAAATAGAGTCTTGTGCTGACCAATGGCTTGTGCTGATTAGCAGTTAGTTAAAGACAAAGTCACTGGGGGAACCGACCCCCATTTCCACAGCATTTAGTGCAGAGTTCCAAAGCTTACATATAATTGGGGGATGTTTTAGGGAATATTCCTGTAATGCCGGTAGGTGGATCAGGAGGTCAAGGACAATTTCTGATACACAGAAATTGTATCTAAAAAAGAAAGGAAAGGAGGGAGGGAGAAAGAAAGAGAATGAAGAAAGAAAGGAAGGAAGGAAGGAAGAAAGAAATCAGGCAAGTTTCTTCTTATAAATGAAGAATATTAAATAAACACTTGCTCTCATAGAGAAGCAATTAGCAGAGGTAATCTTCAACTTCTGTAGCTTTTTTTCTGAGATTCTAAAATACTAAGTGTCATGTGCAGACCAAAGACTATGTGCGTGAGTTTTAGAGACTGGTCCGCAGTCCCCTGCTCAGGGTGTCCTCATCTCAGCAGCAGAGGTACTCCGAGAACTGAGGTTTGGAAAGGGTCACTGTCCAAAGCCTCCTGCTGAGGACTGCGCAGAACAGGGCTTGGGGCCAGGTCTGTTTTTTCCCTTTCTGATTACTATGTCAGGGAATTTTCTGGATGTGGCATTTCATCAAATCAAGGGAATTATCTCTTGTAAGGCAAGAGAATATCAAGAAATATAACACGGCCTGCTAACATTCTTATAATACAAATACAACATCAATTGAAAGTATATCATCATAGGAATGCTGAAACATCTAAACAAGTATACTCATACACATACATGTATAAATACACACATCAATAAAATTCACTAAACTGCTAGCCTTGATGCAAAATATTTCTTATAAATGTTATGAAATATATATAGCTCTCTGAATCCTTTAGAAGATCAACATTGTCATAAGAATAGAAAGAGATAAATTTTAAATGTGAACAATAGGTACCTGCAAACATTTGCCTACTTATACTCTCTGGGCTGGTAGAATGGCTCGGAAGTTAAGAATGTTTACTGCTCTGGCAGAGAGTCTGGATTCAGTTCCCAGCACCTAATCAAGTGGCTCACAGCTGCCAGTTGAGGAAACCCAGCACCCATTGGTCTCCTTGGGCACCTGTGTGCGCATAAACTAATGAAAGCACACTCATATGCATATTAAATAAAAACAATAGTTTAAATTATTTCTCATCCGTGGTACTAAGTCATATTATTTATGATGTTGACATATAAATAATAAATAATATGAATGTCACATATTTATATTTCATACATCCTTGTGCATGAGAAAGCAGTAAGCACGTTTATATATAGTATATATTATATATTCCTAAATATATAAACAGGTCCTGTTCAGCCTGTGTAATGTTGCTTTTATGTATATGTTTTCAGGGCTGACCAATTGATATTGGATAACCAATTTGTTGTGCTCTTCCCTGGAAAAGACTATTTCTCCTCCTCTCGGTATTCCTTAGTTGTCTGTAGCTCTTTGCCTAGAGTTGAGGCCTGGTGATCTTTCCCCCTTCTATGTTAGCATGTCTATTGGTGTCCTCCTTGTTTGGGTCAAGTTTAGGCAGCCATGTTGAGATTGCATGGTTACAGGAGCTTCTTTGACATTTCTAAGGGACACACTCTCATAGCAAATTCACTGATCCTTTGGCTCTTACAATCTTTCCCCTGTTAGGCATACAGATTTTGGTATGTTTATCCTATATTACATGTCTAATATCCACTTATAAGTGAGTATATGCTATGTGTGTCTTTCTGCTCCTGGGATACCTCACTCAGGATGATCTTTTCTAGATCCCACCATTTCCCTGCAATTTTCATGATTTCCTTGTTTTTAATTGCTGAGTAGTATTCCATTGTGTAATGTACCACAATTTCTGTATCCATTCCTCAATTGAGGGACATCTGGGTTGTTTCCAGATTCTGGCTATTATGAATAAAGCTGTTACAAAAATGGTTGAGCAAATGTTCTTGTTGTATACACGAGCATATTTTGGATATGTGCCTAGGAATGGTATAGCTAGGTCTTGAGGTAGCACAATTCTTAATTGTCTGAAAAAGCACCAGATTACCAGATTGATTTCCAAAGTGGTTGTACAAGTCTACGTTCCCACCAGCAATGGATGAGGGTTCCCCTTTCTTCACATCCTCCCCAGCATGTGTTGTCACTTGAGTTTTTGATCTTAGCCATTCTGGTGGGTGTGAAGTGAAATCTCAGGGTCGTTTTGATTTGCATTTCCCTGATGACTAAGTACGCTGAGCATTTCCTTAATAAGTGTTTCTCTGCCATTCGATATTCCTCTATTGAGAATTCTCTGTTTAGCTCTGTCCTCCATTTTTTAATTGGATTGCTTGATTTGTTGCTGTTTAACTTCTTGAGTTCTTTATATATTCTGGATATTAGGCCTCTGTCAGATATAGGTTTGGTGAAGATCCTTTCCCAATCTGTAGCCTGTCGTAGAAGGAGGATCCTGGGTAAGATGCTCAATCCTCATTCAGAAAGGCAAATGGGATAGACATTGGAAGAGGGAGAAAACAGGGAACAGAACAGGAGCCTAACAGAGGGCCCTTGAAAGACTACCCAGCAGGGTGTTAAAGCAGATGCTGAGACTCATAGCCAAACTTTGGGTAGAGTGCAGGAAATCTTATGAAAGAAGGGGGAGATAGAAAGACCTGGAGGGGACAGGAGCTCCACAAGGAAAGCAACAGAACAAAAAAATCTGGGCCCAGGGGTCTTTTCTGAGACTGATACTCCAGCCAAGGACCATTCATGGAGATAACCTAGAACCCCTGCACAGATGTAGCCCATGGCAACTCAGATTCTTAGTAAGGGGAACAGAAGCTGTCTCTGACATGAACTCAATGGCTGGCTCTTTGATCACCTCCCCCTGAGGAGGGGAGCACTTCCTGTTGATGGGGAGGAAGACAGTTCAGCCAGTCCTGATGAGACCTGATAGGCTAGAGCCAGACGGAAAGGGAGGAGGACCTCCCCTATCAGTGGACTGGGGGAGTGGCATGGGAGGAGAGGAGGAACGGAGGGCTGGATTGGGAGCAGAGGAGGGAGGGGCTACAGCTGGGATACAAAGTGAAAAAATAAAAATAATAATAAATCTTTCCCCTGCTCCTCTGCGATGTTCCCTGAGGCTTAGGATCAGAAATTGTGTTGTTGGTGTATCGGGTGGGACTGGGCTTCCCAACTCTGCGTTTTGATTGGTTTCGGTTTTCTGTAATGCTCTCTATCTGTTGCGAAGAGAAGTCTCCTTGATGAGAAGTGAGAAACATGCTTATCTGTGGGAATAATCATAAATATTTGGAATGTAATCAGGGATTATGTTGGTTTTGCACAGTGATGGTTGTAGGTTTTCCTCCAAGATCTATGAAATCACTGGCCCTTGGGACCGTGGCTAGGTTCCCAGCACCAAGCATACTCTTCCCGCCTGTCGAGCCAGCCTTAAGTTCAGTGAGAGGGCTGTTCATTGTCATCAACGTATGTGTGCCTCTGTCGCAGCCTTAGGGTTATGGTACCATTCTGGTCATGGTTGTGGTTCACAGGCA